CTTGGCTGCACCTTGGCTTTCTCCAAGCTCCAAGCTCTCCAAAATCTGCTCTCCTCTGTGTAATCTGTAATGGATTCCTTTTCCACGTTGAAAAACCTCCCCAACTTCAGATTGCAATTCCTTTTCTTCCCTCTCTCCTCCTTTCCAGCTTTTACCTTTTAATATTAAACTACCACCTTTGATAAAGCCTTAGCCCATTGTCCCCTTGCCATGATGAAGCTTTGTCCTCAATAAGATGCCAATTGCTTCAGAAAATATCTCAAAGCTAAGGTAACTTCTTGTTACCAAGAGTTATGGTAACAAGAAATTAAGATGACACAAAGGAGGTAAAAGCTGGCCAAATCCGGATTTCCAGAGCTGTGGTAACATGCTGGACTGGTTGGATAGGCAATACTTGTCCAATGGAGCTCAAATTTGGATATGTTGTAGTTAACATCCATTGGAACAAGTCTCATGAAGATCGTGACCTCATCCGAGCACCAGAGCATGCTGATCCCAGGCCAAGAAGTTGACCTACGAAAATGAACAAAAACAAAGTTTATAACCAATAATGCACTTTTAGCTCATTTTCATTCCAACCAAGGTAAAATCTAAGAAAACACAAAAAGGAAGTAAAAAGCTATAAAATGTCAAGAACTAACTCAAAATAGTGGGTTTATAACATGAAAAATCATGTGTAAAAATGAACCGAACAACTGTCCTAGTGTATTAGCTCTCCTCACCTACACAAATGATATATTAGTGTAAGTTTTTCGAAATATAATAAATAAATGGTGCAATTGTAATGAAATATAATAAGTAATACTTATAGATTGCTTACACCTTGGCTGGTTCTTCATTGGCTCCTTACATTTAGTTCTGTTATGGCCCTCTTACCCACAATTGCTACACTTGATGACAGTGTGGTATCTTTGGAGTTTGTTAGGATTTGATTTCTTTTTAGGCTCATCAGATGCCTTCTTCCTACTCTTCTTTGGCCTACCAGGTTGTTTATGGTAAAGAGGAGGCTTCAAAGGAGGTAAACCACTTTTAGGCCACAAGTCTTGGCTAGGCAAAGGGTGAATCATGTCCCTATAAGTTGTTAGATAAGCATCCTTCTTGTAGAAGTCATGCACATAATCTTCTGAATTCCCATGGAATCTACTCACTGCAACGCAAGCATGGAGGCAAGGAAGACCACTGAGATCCCATGCTTTGCAAGAGCATGTGTGGGCATTCAAATCTACCACAAACTGTCTCCCACTGTGATGCATCACTTGGAATTTATTTTGCCCAGCATGCCTTGGAATGCACCATTGCCCAACTGCCTTATTTACCTCCAATACCCCTTGTATTCTAGGCCCAATGCCACTTAATCATGGCTACTCTCCTTGAAGCCATTAAGATCATTAAATACATTCTAATCCTTTCCAATGCAATCAACACAGGCTTGTTCCTTGCAGGCATTATGGATGAGTTAAAAGCCTCACTTAAGTTATTCATCAAAATGTCACACTTAAAGTCAGTTCTAAAATGGGATCTAGCCCATTGACTTGCATCCCCCTCACATAACCAAGCATGTGCTGCTGTATCTAACTCTAACATCTTCTTCATTTCCTCAACAAACCATGGCAGTGTAGTGGCCCTTGCTATTGATTCCATTTGCAGCTTTAGGGCCAATCCTTTATGTTCCTTCAAGAAATTTGCATATAAATGCTTCAAACAACACCTATGCTCAGCATTTGGGAATAAATCATCCACAGCATCAATTAATCCCTTTTGTTTGTCAGTCATAAACAAATAGCTGTGGTTGTTCTCTATCTTCAAATCATGACTTAATAGCTCCAAAAACCACTTCCAAGTATTGTAACTCGCAACTTCAGCTACAGCATATGCCAATGGGAACATCCCATTATTTGCATCAACTCCTACAACACATAAAAATTGTCCAGGGTGAGGGCCTTTGATGTGGCAACCATCCAACCCTATATAAGGCCTACAACCATCCAAGAACTCTTGCTGACAAGCTTGCAAGCAAATGTAAACCCTCTGAAATCTTGGCATATCACCTTCTAACTTAGACTTTACCACCACCGAACTACCAAGATTTGTCCTTTTCTACTCCTCACAATAATCCCACAAAAGTTCATATTGTTCGGTATAACTCCCCTCAATATTGCTGGTTGCCAAGCTTCTTGCCCTATAAGCTTGTGCCCTAGAATGATAATAACCAGTTTCTTGGTTCACCTTCTCTTGAAAAGATCCCACATCCCAATTAGGATTTGTTAAATTGCTTTCATACCAGTTTGAAAAATACTTTGCATTGGCATAAATATTCGCATTCCCCTGCCCACAGGTATGTTTCCCGACATAGGTTTTCAGTTGAACATGCTTGTTTCCATGCACAGATGATGCATATAGGTGAAATGGACTTCTCATCACAAATTACTCGAATCCTACTGCCATCATTCACCTTAAACTTAAGCTCTCTGCCAATTAGGACAGAATGCCTCCTCACAGCTGCCCTAAAGATTTCACGACTAGGAAATCTTAAACCGAGCTCAAATTGAGGATTTTTCATATTGATGGATGGGATGAAGTCTTTAAAGTTAGGGAGCTTCCTCTTTCTCAAGCAGTTTCCAGTCACAACCTCAGACTCAGAAAAAGAGTGCTCTACATCCTAGGTGAGGCAAGGTTATTATCTTACTCCTTATCCTCTTCACCTGCATTAGGGTCTATGTCAATTGCATCATGGTCTACATATCCCTGAAACTGATTATCATCATCCCTCAACAATCTCACATCCTCCTCACTTTGTGCATAGGCAAGGTCTACAAAATATGGGTCTTCATCCAAATCCTCGTCACTCTCACTGCTAGTTTGTTCTTCTTCCTCACTTGTCTAATTTGATTCTACATCTACAACACAAAATAAAGCATAAAACCTGAATTTACTCTACCAACCAATCATTTGCAACAGTAAAAAGCCACAAAGTCAAATTAAAAGTATCATCTTCATGTTGGACAACACCCATTTTAATATTCCTTAAAGTTCAAAGCCAAATACAATAGTACAAACAAAGCCTAATAGTCATATTCGAACCCAAGGTCAAGAATAAATAAAGAATCACTAGTTGGACAACACCCATTTTAATATTCCATAAAGTTCAAAGCCAAATACAATAATACAAAGCCTAATAGTTAGATTCGAACCCGAAGCCAAGAATAAATAAAGAATCTGAAGGTCCACTTACCTGTGAAAGCTTAAGGTCCTCCTGCTTCTGTCATTGTCAAATTCAGTTTACACCTTCACTGTTGAAGATTCTATTGCTTTACTCAGATTTTGAATTCATCCAAAATATCTCTCCTTGTGCGAAGATTTTACCCTAATTGAAGATATGGTCGATGTTTTACATCTGTTGTGGGTCCTGCCTTTTTGGCACTTCAAAACCTACGAGTACAGAAGAACCCAGAGAAATGGCACTTCGGCGTCACGTGTGCAAATTTGATGACTTTTGTTAGGCTGGATGGAATCCAGGCAAAATGAGACACTATATGGAGTTTAATAGGGGAAAGTGAGACACTTAGAATTTCAGGGGGGAAACTGAGACTGAAATTGAGTTACAGGGGGCATTTCAATAATTTAGCCTATATAATATAATAGAATAGTGGTAAAAATATGGGGGCCACTCCAGGTCTAGGAGTGGCTCCGCCATTATTCAATGTAATAATCTTATCTATCTAAGCAATAATACAAGAGGGATCTTCCTTCGTATCTTCTCTCTTTCTTTTTTCTTTTTCCTTTGTCCTCTTCTGCTTTCCACTTTGAAATATATTTAAAGCAATCTCGTCAATCGCAAGCAACAGGAAGTCTTCGTCCACGAATAATACAAACAAAAACATTTAACTTTATCAGCGAGGAAAAAGAAAAGAAAAAAAGTTGACTCATAAATCTTTTTTTTTCTTTTTTAAATACAAGAGATATTTTAAATTACAGTGGAAGATTTCTCACACACACACGACTATGATGCCATGAGGATTCGAACTTGAGAGTTTAGGTCATTTTTCACTGGGCTAGACCCATTGACTTGACTCATAAATCTATAAATTGATACAATTGAGCAATGCATAAGACACCAGTACTTTAAGTTTCTATTGCATCTGCCTACCCTGCTTATGTACACACACACACACACACCCCTTCCATTGAGGGATTGAGGGATCCCTCAAATAATCCTTTAGGGTACCATACCCCACAACCCCCACCCCGCTGCCCTAGCCCGGCACTTCCTTCCTCTCTTCCTCTCTCTCTCTCTCTCTCACCCTCAATTTCAAAAAGTTATTTTATTTTATTTTATAGTTTTTATTTATTTTTAACATACGAAATGATGATTCTGCCCTCATATTTAACGGCAAATTGGCTGAAATGTTGCAGATTTAGGTGTCGGGGGGAAATTGGCAAAAAAAAAGTTATATCCTTAATTTTCTAAAAAAAAGTATAGGGGATAAATTGGAAGATGCTAAGAACCAACTCACCAAGAGGGGATAAATTTAAAGTATAGGTACAAGTATTAATAATTAAACCTAAAATGAAAAGAGACAAACTAAACAACGATGATAAGAACCAACTCACCATGATTAGAGGCCTAGAGGCTGATAGAAGAGCAAAGATTCTGAAGACTAGTCACGCCCAATATCCGCATGGGATTTTCGGATCACTTTAGAAATGTGTATAGTTCTTGAAGATTTGCTGGGTGTGTAGAGTAAATTATTAAAATCTTGTTGGGTGTAGAAAGTTTACTAGGTGAGAAGAGTTAATAACCAACGGGAAACAGGGAAATAAAAGTACAGAAAATGAAAGAGACATACGGACATATAGAAGTTGAGGAGTTTTACAAATATATTCTGTCTTCTCTTTAGGACAATAATCTAAAAATTACTTCGGTTTTATTTTCAAAATAAAATAATATCAAAGTAGACTATAATAAAGAATATAAAGTAGACATGTCTGCGTGCATGTGACCCTGTGTGGGATCGGTATCGCGAGCAACAGGAAGTCTTCGTCCACGGATAATACAAACAAAAACATTTAACTTGATCAGCGAGGAAAAAGAAAAGAAAAAAAAAAGACTCATAAATCTTTTTTTTCTTCTTTAAATACAAAAGATATTTTAAACTACAGGGAGATTTCTCACAGGGCTAGACCCATTGACTTGACTCATAAATCTTTGATGCGATTGTGCAACGCATAAGACACCAGTATAACAGTTTCTATTGCATCTGCCTACCCTTGTTTTCTCACTCCTTTAATTGACTAGAATCTGCTTTCTCTTGTTCTTCTACTACCAGTTAGAGCTTCACGCTATTACAAATACTGTCTCTCTCTGCTCTCAAGGTACAATTGTCAATTGGTTCCCTTCTCTCCTTCCCAAGCCCAACTATCAGGTGCGGTATTTTTTCAGTATTTATTTTAAATATTTTTTGTGAGTATGTCGTTGTTAGTCATCAGTGTTGTGAATTTTGTTTTTGTTAGTGAAATTAAAATTTAGAAAATAAAAAATATTTACTCTCTCTTCCATATTTCAAATATTATTACGCAGAGAAGATTATTGCATTAGGAGTGTTATGAATTACATTCTCTTATTTGATTCTATGCCTTTGCAACTTGCTTCAGACTTTCAGGACAGTACATATATAGTTGGGCTGGTCATCATCATGGCTATTGAAACGGAATGCAGTGCAGATCGGACTTATATTGTAGGAGAAGATACTTTATTACTTGAAGCGTTGAAAGAGAAGATGAGAAGAAACCCTGGCCCTACTATATCACCCTTGCCTCCCGCAAGCTGCATCTTCAAAGTTCCCGAAGCTCTCCGGAGACATAATCCAAAGGCATATGAGCCTCACGTCCTCTCAATCGGACCCTTCCATCGAGGACGCGATCACGAAAAACTCCAGCACATGGAAACTGTGAAGCAGTGGTATTTAGGTACCCTTCTCACCCGCGTGAATATAAGCCTTGAAAAATTCATTGAAATAATTCACAGTGAAACGAAGGAAGGCATCATTGAGTTTGAGAAAAGGGCCCGTGAGTTTTATGCAGAACCATTTGATCTTACACAGAGAGAGTTTATAGAAATAATGATACTTGATGGTTGCTTCGTAATACAACTACTTTGGAATATTGTCAATGGGGTAAAAGATAATGATGACCCCATATTGAACATGGATTGCATGTTCCAATATGTATGTCATGATCTTTTGCTATTAGAAAATCAGCTTCCTTGGTTTGTTCTCAGCGCTTTATATAAAGTTACCTTGGGCAAACGCCACGGTAGACCACCGTTCAGTAAAGTCCTGTTTGAAGCCTTCTCCTCACAAAAGTCGTTGAAGAAATATTTCAACTCCTATTTACGATCTCTTGATAAAACTTGCCAGAAGGTTGATCAGAAGAGTCCGAAGAAAGAAGAAGAGTCTGCTCTGCACATTTTTCTGAAGAAAGAAGAGGAGTCTGCTTTGCACATACTCGATCTACTCCGATTTTTCATTGTTTTGGAATTCGAAGCAAAGGAAGATCCAAAGAAGGGAGAGTCTGAAGAAGAGTTAGAATCGGATATTCCTCCAGCCACTGCTCTCTCAAAAGCAGGCGTCAAATTTAATAAGGACGACTCGGCTGATAATCTACTGAACATCAAATTTGAAAACGGGTTTTTAACAATTCCAGAACTAGCAGTTGCAGAATTGACCGAACCATTATTAAGGAACCTCATCGCTTTTGAGCAGTGCTATCATGGTCGTTCTCATCAAATAACATCTTACGCCGTTTTCATGGATAAACTCATCAGTTCCAATAAGGATATAAAGCTTCTTTCTGAGAAAAAAATCTTAGCTAACTGGCTCAACGTTGAAGATGGTTCTAAGTTCTTTAACAGCCTTTACATTGACACCACAGTCAAAAAGTTCCAGTATGACAAACTCTGCGATCAAGTGAATAAATATCACCAAGTTAAATGGAACAAGTATCTCGAACAATTGAGGCGCGACCACTTTAGTAGCCCATGGAAAGTTATTGCTTTGACCGTAGGGATTCTCATTCTGATTCTACAATTATTGCAGTTCATCCTTCGTGTTATGTCCTCAACATCATTCTGATTTCAGAGATGTCAATGTAGTTGTATGTTTAATAAGCTGAGAGAGTTGTTAAGAGTTTGTTTAATTAATAAGCTGAGAGAGTTGTTATCGGTTCTTTACCAACTCGGTTAACAACTAGGTTGCATCAATAGTCGTCATGCGCCTCAATGGCATGGTTGTTGTTTTTTGTTGTTGTTGTTGTTGTTGTTGTTGTTGTTGAAAGTTATTAATTGATGGCAAGTTGGCAAATGGAAATGGTTTTGAAAAAAAAAGTAAATCCGATAGTTCATAAAGAAATAAAAATGTATGCTGTCATGTCGATCCACCATCCAATAATTCATGATTTCGTGCTGGCCTGGATAAAATTAAATCAAACGCCATAAATTACTTTATAAAAATAGTGATGATCTATGCTTTGCTTTCCACCGAAAACTGTTTCGGAAATTGTCTATCTTTACTGAACATGAAAGGGGATATTATTGTTTTACTATATCTCTAACCAATCACGGTATGTCATCCATGATAATTTTTTCACTCGGCATATCATGATTGATTGGGGATAGCAAAACAGTAATATCCTTGTTACACACAAATTTTTCTACTACTAAAAGGTGGCCCCATCAGAAATTCATGTTGTGCATCGATCACCTTTTGCTACTAGAAATTAAATTAGCCTCCTTGGGTGCGGGCCATGATTGTTTACTTTTAAAAATATCAATTTTATGTAGTTATTATTTTAAGATCTGGAATCCTGTTTCAGGTAAAGTCGTTTTCAAGTTGAGTTGTTATTGGTAGTATTCAACGGAAATAAAATTAAATCAAACGTCATAATATTACTTTAAACAAATGGTGATGATCTATGCTTTGCTTTCCACTGAAAACTGTTTCGGAAATTGTCTATCTCTTTGGACGAAAAACACTTGTGTGAAACGGAGATATCATTGTTTTATTATATCTCCTGCCAATCACGGTATGTTATTCATGATAACTTTTTCACTTCACATATCATGATTGGTGGGAAATAGCAAAACAGTGATATCCCTATTACACACAAATTTTTCTGTTACCAAAAGGCGGCCCCAACAGAAATTCATGATGTGCATCGATCACCTTTTGCTACTAGAAATTAAATTAGCCTCCTTGGGTTTGGGCCATGATTGTTTACTTTTAAAAATATCAATTTTATGTGGTTATTATTTTAAGATCTGGAATCCTGTTTCAGGTAAAGTCGTTTTCAAGTTGAGTTGTTATTTGTAGTATTCATCTTAAACTCAAATACCAGTCCGTTAAGATCATTTGCAAATTTTGTGTACATACTGTATACTAACGTGTCTTCATAGTGTTTCTCAAAGGAAGACAAACCAGACTGATTAACTCGATCTAAACACGAAATTTTTTTAACTTTCCAATGTGGGTGGAGATGTATTCGACTCTTTGTTTTGCTATTGGTTTTGCTATTGGTGGATGGAGATGTATTCGACTCTTTGTTTTAGTTGACCCTGCAATTCTGTGATCAAAAGATTCAAAACTATAAAGATCTCGTCTGCAATCAGAATATAATACTTACAGCTGCCACCAGGAAGAGTAATTACCCGATCACGGTTAATCGAGGTCAGAAAGTCAAGGGGTTGATAAGGAATTAAGAAAATATATTTGTGAATATGCATTTGGCTTTCTTAAACCTCAATCATGGTTCGACCAAAAAAAAAAACCTCAATCATGGAGGAACCAAAAGAAAGTAAAAGATTGTAACATCATTTTCGTCAAAAGTGCATGAAACTCCAAAAGCCTTTTTGCTTTTTTTTTTTTTTTTTTTTCTTTTTTTTTTTTTTTTCTTGGAGATGACAAAAGGTTTTGGTTGTTGGGACCAACAGAGCACATATATATAGTGAGAGAGAGAGAGAGAGAATATGACCAAACGTTATCCTTTTGGCTTTGTTTGACTGGTATTTATAATGTGATATATATATATATATATGTGACTGCCATTGCCAAGCATAATCCTTTCATAGTTTGCTTTTTGGTGTGTTAAATGTACTCAATTTTTTGTCCCCTTTGCGTTCAATCCACACCATGAATTTAAGCAATTAATACTCTAATTACGCAGCTTTTTATGGCTGATTAAAGATATATACCTTTTATAATAAGGAAAGTATCTAAAGTCACATATTTATCCGGTTTAAGTTGAAACATGATTACGTCTACATTGCCAACCAAAAGTAAACTCAAGTATGGAGCACATTACACACATACACACACTCCTCACTTTCAGTCTTGATAGATGGACAAATTTGACCCCCCAAAATTTCATTTCTAAGTTCCACATAAAACTGAAAACTAAAAACTGAAATGATTATCAAACAAGCTCTTAAAATTTTGTTCGGCGTAGAAAATTTGCTAGATGGGAAGAGTTAATAACCAGCGAGAAACAGGGAAATAAAAAGTATAGAAACGAAAGAGATATACAGACATATAGAAGTTGAGGAGTTTTGCAAATATATTATGTCTTCTCTTTAGGACAATAATCTAAAAAGGACTTTGGTTTTATTTTTAGTAAAAGTTCATACCTGTATTCAATCGGAATTCTTACCCGAGTGCAACCCTTCAGTTGCCGCCACAGCCTATAATTTCAAGTGAGTAGAATTTATATTTTTAATTAAATTGATATATGTAGTGTTTTTTATGGAATAGAATTTATCGATATGATATTGATATATTGATATTTGGATTAGAGAATTTATAATTGATTGATGTAGTGACGTTTTCAAAATATGAAAACTCGTTGTGGACAATTGAAGTTTGTATTGTTATTTTTGCCATGAATTATGAATGGAAGTACTATCTTTAAATTTTTTTAGTGTTATTTTCTTCTTAAAAAAAATTTGAAACTTTTACACTATTACCCTTTGAGGTCACAATTCTTGCTCAATTTTGGATCTGCTATTGAGTGAGGACATATACTAATTGTATGAAGTAAGGAAAATTGTTTGTCTTTATCACCTTCAAGGTTGTTGGCGCTAAATCTGAACAGATAGAGATGAGTGCAACTTACAAGTGGGATGGACGATCAAGAGATCGATTGGATGTTGGATGCCGATTCTTCCTGTCCTTGGATGCTGATCCTGAATAGAAGATAAGCGAAGCTCGTGAGGTCTATGGAACCGGTGTGGAACCAGCCTAAGACCCTCCGATGCTCAAGTAAGATTGTTTTTAAGAGCTCTTGCTGTTGACCATATAGTAGTATAAAAGTCAAGCTGAAAAGTCTTACCCCTTTGTTGATGGTGAAGGGGTGTATTTATAGAGGGCATTTGGGATGCTTGTGGTGTTCATTTCCGATGTGGGACTCGTGGGAGGGCCCTGTGAGGTTGACACGAGTCCTTAGATATTTCGGGCGGGTGCTTCAAGGCTGATTATGTACAATCGGTATGGGGTGCCGATTGTAGACGAGCTGGGCCTGTATCGGTTGTTTGCAGCTTTGAGACAATGTCATCGGTAGCCGATGCCGATTGTTCGAGGCCTTGGGTACTTGGGTGGGCTTCTCTGATCCACGTGTCGTTGTACGAGTGGAGGGTCAGATATGGTACAAACAGTAGTCCCCCAAGTTGCCGATTGAGAAGCTTCTCGGTTGGGGACTTGAATGTGTATTAGGCATTCTGACCCGGACACAATGGTCCCATAGTTGCCGTTGGTGGTATGTAGTCCCCCAAGTGCCCAAGGGAGTGAGCTTGGATAAGAGACGGCATGATGTGCCGATGGCCGAAGGCTGAAGCTAATGGCCGAAGCTGATGGCCGAAGGCAGAAGCTGATGGCCGAAGCTGATGGCCGAAGGCAGAAGCTGATGGCCGAAGGCTGATGGCCGAAGGCTGAAGCTGATGGCTGAAGGCTGATGGCCGAAGGCTGAAGCTGATGGCTGAAGCTGATGGCCGAAGCTGATGGCCGAAGGCTGATGGCCGAAGGCTGAAGCTGATGGCCGAAGCTGATGGCCGAAGGCTGAAGCTGATGGCCGAAGCTGATGGCCGAAGCTGATGGCCGAAGGCTGAAGCTGATGGCTGAAGGCTGATGGCCGAAGGCTGAAGCTGATGGCTGAAGCTGATGGACGAAGCTGATGGCCGAAGGCTGATGGCCGAAGCTGAAGCTGATGGCCGAAGCTGATGGCTTCGAGAAAAGGCGCTGGAGAAGTGTCTCCTAGAAGGTGCCGTTCGGCATGGCTGAAGCTGATG